CCTAGAATACTTGCTCTGACTACTCCGTAATGATTAAAACGCGAGTAAATACGCAACTCTCTTACATAGCGCATACGAGTAAAGCAATAGATATGTGAAGTAAAATTTATTACACATCGTATCTATGAGAATATCATAGATACGCTGTGTAATAAATTTTACTTCACATATCTATGAGAGTATCATAGATACGAGACCAGAATTTGCTTTGCGGTTCTACTATATTTGTTGTAGGTGAAATCCAATTTTCAGGTGAACGCGCCCGCGTACGCTGAATGCTAAACGCGTAGTTTGTTCTAGTGTAGATGGACTGTCGGTTCGTTTTTTATTTGTTTACTGTACAAATGCTTTCGAAACCGCGCCGTGGGTGATGTCACGGGATTTCCTTTATTGTCGACTTCAATTCTTGAAGAAAATAATTAGAATTATAATGTTAGTATTTCATAAAAGAGGTATTCCTTATTTATTCATTCATTCTTTCATTTCAATAAAGATTGTTTTTAAACATTCTCCTTACTTTAAGATAACATTATCCTGTGTTGTAAGGACGTTTTACAAACATAAATTTCACACGGACCAATTGCCCAGATGCGAAACAACTATCTGTGGGTCACACAAATAGTTGCCCCGTGTGGGAATCGAACCCACGGTCTACGACGCTGAAGCCAATACGCCACGGAGTTATCTGCTTGTCTATTGTAACTTAAGATATGAGAAACATGTGAAAAATTTTTGAACATATTGGACGACAAGAAATACATACGTTAGAAGCAGTTGTAATTCATTTAATCTTTTAAAAAGCACGAACAGAGTAACTTTTTGAAGTTAAAAAAATAATCACCTTGTATCTCATGAACCGTGATGTTACGAAAAAAACTAAGTTTAAATGTCCTTGACTGAACAAGGAATAGATCGTCAGCAACCTTCCTTGCGTGCTACTAATTGCTCGGCAGTACGCCCGCCCACCCGACTCTCATCGAAAATATATTAGCCTCCTAAAAGAAGCGATGTACCTACACCATAATTATGCGGTTGTTTCTTTCGCTCCATTAAACGTGTTAATACCAGAAGATGGACACGATGGCTTTAGTCAAGGTAGTTTAGTGATCCACTAAACAAAGCGTAAGCTGCCTCGAGGAAAGCTTGACGCGAGATTATAAATAAAAAAGGCATAGTATTCTTTTAAAACGTTTACATGGCCATGTTGTCTTACGGCGAGTTTCAATATTTAATCTACAGATAGCTTTAGTTACTGATGATAGAATTTTGTCATAAGTATAATGGAGCTAATGTAAAATACCTATCCCGAGTAACCAAATCTATCTGTAGATAGAATATTGGAACCGGCCATTAAGCCTAGTTATTACCATACACCTGTTTTTTGAAAAATTAATTACCTTTCTATTTAAACGCTACGACGCTCAGAAATGTAATTCTTTTATCGCAACTGTCTGTATACTTCTGTTTTGCTTTTTGCGTGAAGAAACTTTTGAAGTGATAGCAAACTTCGCAGTATTTGCTTCTTTGTATTTTCGTGGCTTTATTAAATGGCCTCTTTAGTCTGCAATGCGACCGTTCCTCGGCATAGCACAATTCGATAAATAGAAACAGACTGTTCCGAAACAAATTTTTCGGTTATATAAGTGGCGATGCTAATTGCATTGTAAGAAAGAATGTCAGAACAGGCTGGCTTATGAACTTATATTACTTTTTGCAACCTTAACATGTTGCTGGCCAAAGTTGCTGGCCTCTCTTTATACTGATCTTCCGAAAAATGTAGTCGTTTTAGGTAAGGCCATTCTACCCTTCGAGGTAGCTACAATCCAAGCTCAATTTCCGCCACATAAAATTCTCGCGGAGATAGACCCGAGGTTTTACCACTGGCTCTAGGGTAAATACGAGTCCCTGGACACGGAATATTTGCGGAAATCAAAAGTATACAATATACACTGGAGTTTCGGCACTAGCGGCTCAAGGAATTGAGCCTGAAAATGCAATGCCAACATTTTGGACCGGGATTACCGTACAACATTTTCACACACATTCTGGTCAAGAGAATGCAAAAATCCGTGACGACGGATTATTGATGATCGATTACTGGCGAGTAATCGCAGTGACACTTGCTTACGTGCTTGCGTGCACACGTGTTAATGAACAAAAATTTACAATTAGTATTAAACGAAACTTAGCGTATTTTTACAAAATAACTACTAAATGCACTTTTTTGGAAATAGTTATAATAATATAAGTTTTTTTGGAATTAGTTATATATCAACTAATTTGAAAAAAAATTTAAGGAATGTGCCATGGTCCCAAACATTTCGCTAAATTTCGATGGATCTTTAAATAAACTTCAACAGCCCCTGTGATAATTAAATAGCAAGTTGACACGTTATTCTATCATCAGAATTTGGAGTTATCTTAATCTTTTATATTTTTTTCATTTTAATTTGTTCAATTAAACGAGTTGATAAATACTTTTTGTTAATTTAAAAGTAAGGAAATTCTGTACATTTTCTACTACGGAATATTCGCAACTCATATGACGATAAGTCGTAACAGATTGATGACGTACAGGTGGTATTTATAAATAGAACATCTGGAATCCCATTATATGCATGTTTGTGATGGTTATCACTATTATTATTTTCTGATAACGTACGGAGAGACAACATGCTTGTAATAACAGTTTCATCTGTTAGTGCGTATTATTTCCAGTTCATGTTCCCTGGCTTCTTTCAAGGATCAAGAAAGGAAGATCTCTGATTAATGACATATTCCTTTCTTCATTCAATTTTTTGTAGTGGTTTATGCATACTTCCCGTCAACAGTTTGATTCAACGCCCAAACTGCTTAATGTTACCAAAACCGTCGTGGGTTTCTAGGTACAACCCTACGTACGCATAAATCCGGTAAAACGAGTCAACTTGTTCTTGAATTACAATACTAGCGGAAACAAGTTCATGTTTTTTTCTTCCTTAATGAAGTGAATTTTTATTAAATCTGAAATAGCTGATTAGAGGGATGAGCGGGATCGAATTTCGTTTCATGTATTTTATGTGAGCAATAATTCGTGTATTCGTTCCCGGTGGCAGGCAAAAGGTTCACTACGGTGCTTTGAAATCAATATGCTCGATAAAAACATAGCGTCAGTTAAGTCTATGTGGTGTACATACATTTGGATCTAATTTCGAAAACTGTACCTTGTCAGGAATATCTATCAATCTATAATTGTTATGTGATCATTCAGAAACAGTCTTATTTCTTATAGAATTATTTTAAGAGTACTATAATAATACATATCGTAGTAACCTTATTTTGCATTTATGGCTTTAGCTGTTGTTACGATTTCAAATTATTACAGGGAAGACAAAGTGTACATGAATAATAGGTTGAACTGCAGAGCTGCTTCCTGTTCTGTATGAGTAAAAAACATTGACACAGGAAGTTCACAGGCTTCAAGTAAAAGTATTTGACGATTGAGTTTCATCCGGTGAATGAGATAAGCCGCAACCACTCTCTTAAAGATTCGCAACATAATCTACAAAGCCAATGCCATTGTGGATGTATTGACGGAGGCTTTTGCCTACCATAATGTTTGTTATTGAACTCATTAATCGCGTAGATAAAATAAGAGTAGAGATTAACTGTGATAGGACGACGCAACGGTCTTCGCTGTTGCATGAATGGGCAGGTCCGCCCGGTTAAGTACCACGACCTCACAGAAGATCGGCGTGAAGTGGACGTGTTATACTTCTGCGTTTCGTTTGGTGAGTGAGGTAGCAGCGGCCCACTTTATTATAAGGTGGCAACGCTTCTGCAACCCTACGGGTGTTGCAAATATCAATGGACGGCGGTTATCACTTAACATCGGGTGAACCGCCTGCTCTCTTGTCACCTTCTGACATTTAAAAACAAAGTTCTAATTGATTAGGCTCTCATTGACATAAAATAAGGATTTTTCATATTCATTAACGCCCGGTTTCTGACCACTCTTTCTAACACTGATCATCGTAGTACTTAACTAATCAGCAGTCAAATGGCTTTTCAAATGTCATTTAAGTACCCAAAAAGATGGTTAAACTCTTTGAATTGATCATTGTGATCTTAAGAAGATTATTCTGATAAATCGTAATTTTTCTCCCTTAGCGTAATATTTAAAAGACGCTATTTAAAAGTGTGTTCATCATGCATTCGTTCAAATATGACGGTAACTTCAATCTGGAACAAAGTAAGTTCTCTGAATCAATAAACAGAGACCCAGCAACTTCATGAAGACTTAGATTCCATTAAATTTTCTAGACATCGCTGCGGAGCCATTCCATAAAATATTGTACTTGTGATTGCGAAAGTTGTGAACAGTTGACTTTCAGCGCAGGCACTTTTTCCCGGCGTGATGTATTGCGGTAAAACAAAGGCCGCTTAGATAATACTTCCATTGGGAAATCGACAATTTCCTAACGACAACAAAGTATTATGAAGCTTTATCATAATAAAAGGCAAAAGCTAATTTACAAAAGGTTTTTCTGTCTCAATCAATGCAATGTATATAAAATTATAAGTAAATTTACTTACCTTTACGACAGTAAATAAACAACGACTTCAAAGGATAGACAAGTTCAAAGTGTAACCGATTTTTTGAAGAAAAAAAAACTATTTTATTTGTTATAACATTGTAAGAAAACTAAATTTTTAAAAAATTTTAATCACTTCGATCGAATTACGAAAAATAGAGAAATATTTTCCCCAATTCGATTGGAACATTATGATTTAATGATACATTACGTTTATACAATATTTTAAACATATTTTTAATTGCATGTCACGAAACACATATTGCATATATTTAAAAGCTGCAATAAACCATAGGAAACTGTTAAATTTTTTTTGTATTTCAAGGACAGGAGGAAAATCTTTGTGATGTAAATGTGCCTAATGAAAAGGGATAAACCATGTTTACCGGGAAGTTTTAAAGCTTTTCGCCTCCAAATGAAGTTTTAATCCTTATTGAGTTGGTAAAATGTGTGCTTGGGAATCCTTTTTGAATTTATCTTGTTAGAGACACGATGGCCCACATCACGAAGCGGCGTGTTTTCGTTTCGGATTTGCTCGAAGTTCGCGCCAAATCCAAGCAGCTGGCGCGCTCTACCTGGAGGATATTTTCTTTTCCTCTTTCGACATGCGATCTTGACGACTGGCTTTTGTGATTTAAAAAGATTTGCAGAAGCAAAACCGCTTACCGCTACGTCGATGTGCGCTGCGTTTTATCGATAAGCGGAAACAATCCTATTTGGTTGTATAGGGAATGATAAGTGTCACATGTGGAAGTATAAACAGCTTTAAGAAAATATGTAATTCAACATTTTTTGTTTCGGCTGAAGGTAAAAAAAGTGGTGATTTTAGTATACTACATACTCTATAGATGCTACACTACTACTCGTATATGATACTACATGCCCTACCTACAAGTTACATTTGTTTTTTTTTTTTTAATTATGATTTTCGGAAGTATATCATTGATCTATGTATTTCTAATTGATATTAAGACGGGTATTCATCGTAATACTCTCTATAACAGTTCTGAATAAATTAGTATTCATCAATAATTAGACACAATCAACGTAAGCGTTAGCTTTACACCGCAGAATTCGTAATGATAATAACTTGATACAACTGCTGTGTCCACCAACTTAATGGGTATTGCAATTGATTCCTGATTAAATAATTTTTATTCAGTACTAATTTATTTAATACGCTGAACTTAATATAGTTAAATAATAGTATAAAGAGAAAATAATGCAGATGGTCTTCTAAATTAAAAATTATGTAGTATAATCTTGAATATCATCGTGTTCATTTCCTTTCGTCTCTTTATTTTGCACTTATGTAATTCATTGGTAGTGACAGTGACCAAATAATATATAATATGATAATATATAATATGTTTTCTTTCACGGCCGTTAAGTAGACCAATTAATGATAAAGGACTTGGTTATAATGTAATAACGGAATACCGAGGATAGAATTTAGACGATTCGTAGTTTCTATTCTTTATAATATAATACAAATAGTTATACATACAATAATACAAACAGCCACACTACAATTTTTTGATAATGTCATTTGCATATTTATTATAAAAGACTAAATACATTTCAGTAATTGATTTACGTAATTTAACAATAAATATACATTAACAATAAACAACACAGAACCTGTCCCTATTAGATAGCATTTATACCATGACCCCCCAATAAATTGTTTTTTTGAATTCTTTTTTTATATCAGTGGTATTATTTCAACCGTCTACAATATCGGCACACAATGCGTTAAAACTTTTCTCGTAATAGTATGTTAGGATTTTAAATTGATTACCATCAAAGTAAACTTGCACTGATGTCTATCTTCAGTAAAGCGTATGTATGTAGATGCAGATTGCGGCACATTTAAAGGCACAGTTCTTAGATCAGAAGGCTTCTTAATTTGTAAATAACTAATAAGTGTTCAGTGACAATATTCAAATATCTCACTCGAACAAATTAATTGATTCGCTAGGAGAAAAACCTCTGCAGTTTGATGATGAAAGTTCGTTGAAATATCTCTAAAACGGAGTATTTAATTGACTGTATAAAAATAATGTAAATGAAATGCTTACCTTCATAGATATGGCCCATATTGTTTCATAGTTGCTAAATCAATCAACTGCACAGGGTTAAATTACGATCCACGCAAGCAGCTTAGAATAACGTAACTGAAATAAAACACTATCCTCTTTCACATGTTTTATTTCCACTACTGTTCATCGAATTCTCCTTTATTTATTTACATTCGTGCATTGTGTAAGAGGTGCTAATCGGTTGGCACTGTTGGGGCGAACTGGCGTATACACGCGTCTGTACGCGACGCAGCAGACAGTCTGCAGGGTTGTTGGTTTCGGGACGTGGTTCAAACGATGGTTTTTGATATAGGGCGGCGGAGGGCGATAGCACGACGTCACGCGGCGACGGTGCGGCGTTGACTGGCCGGGCGGGGACACCCCTGCGCGCCGCCCGCCCTGACGTACTGGGAGGCCGATACAAAATTAATACTTGTTTTGCTAAGAGCGATTCCGATTTGTCGGCCCCCAAATTTGGAAAGTTTGATCTTGTTAGCAATTAAAGTTCTCCTAATATAGAATTGAGTTTCTTCTGACTCGTCTAAGCCCCACAGCGAGATTCGTAAGCGCTTATGTCGAGTCCGAAAGCAATTTAAGTTTGCTTTCGACCTCGATATTATTTTTCACCGCATTATTTATTTCAGAGCAGAAATAATATCCATAAAATCATTTGTCTAGGCTAGAGAGAAAACAAAGGTTATTCTTGCGTTATGTACGTAGCATATGAAATGAGAAAGAAACCTATACGTTTGCAAATATTCTTTTTATTCACGAGCGACCTATGTACATAAATATCTCAAAGCTTTTCTAAGTTATGACTGATACCTGTGGAATAAACCTGTGTAACATTTGAAAAAGGACTCACATCTCAATTTTATTAAACTGGAATAGCCCAATATATCGCAAACTTTGGCGAAGTAAGGGAAAGTTCCATTTTCTTCGTTTTGGGATTGAGATGGACGCCTTGATCGCCCGTTTGCATAACATTAAAACAGTTTCCGACTATTGTGGGATTGTTCTATATAAAAATTGGTCATATATAATTAAATTTTATTCTCCTCACAGTTGAATCAATATTTTGTGATGATTATAATTATTTTATAGTTTTGCTTAATATTATTAAAAGACTGTTAAGTTAAAACTTGAAACAAGAAAAAAATATAACGTATATTGTTAATTGATTATTTTTGAATGAAATGCCCCCTAATTAATAAAATTAATGCCTATCAAATCTTCATTCTGTTTTAGAACAGTACCTACGCTTGAAAATATATTTAGTATAAATTTCACAAAACAAGTTGTAAAGCAGGTTTGCCTTAATACATTTTTAATATGAATTATTTTGTAAATTGCCTGAGTAAACTGCCGAAAACGTAAGCAGTTTATGATTCATTTTTAATTTATTAGGAATACTTTCTAGTCATGTTCTTAAAATTTCTTCACGATGTTTACCTTCTCCGTAGGGTTAACTGTATCAGGCATGTCAAATAGCAGATTATCCGAGAAATGGAGAAATTAATAGTGGTAAAATTACTCGACCTGAAGAGTTAAGAATTTATGTTAACTTAAGGGCTATATAATATTAAATAAAATTTACTATAGCATTTCAGTGAAGCATTTAGACGATTAAATTTTAGGAATATATGTTTCTTTAGTAGGTTTTTGGACAAAAACATTTATTTAATGCAACTCAAGAAATCACTGTGACACACATTAAAAATTTTGGCAAAATTAATAACTTTTTTAGCTGAGAAGGTGGCAAGAAAGCTAGCGGTCCACCTGATGTCCGCTGCCCATGGACATTTGCAGCCCAAGGTCGTGGTACTTATCTCGACGGTCGTGGTACTCCATTGGTGCAACGAGAACTGTTAAGTGGACCTACCACAGTTCATTTAACTTCAGTACAAAACTATTTTTGAAAACTTTAACACTAATTTATCCATGCAAATTTAAAATGTTTTTTTTTTATCATATACCCTAACTGGAGTGTAGTTGTCATGCTAAATAATCAACTTCGCGTAAAAATTTTAACTGTAAAGCGAAATGAATTTTAGAAATAATAATATAACTATTTTTATTACCTTTAAATGATGAACACAGAGACAATTATTAATCATGCGGATTCAACTCGTCGATATTCCGATTCTGTCTTACCGTTTTAAAAATTGAAAAAAAAAAGGAGAATATAAATGTGTACGGACGAAAGCGGATTAAAGGGTATATGAGGGCGCGAACGACCTGTTGTGTGACTGAAATCCCCAGAAGTGAGTTCAGGAAAGACAAATATTGTGACAAAAGCCTGCCAGACACGGGCAAGTTTTCAAGCGGACAGGGTAGAGCAAACAGACAGAAAGGGGCCGAGTACGTATTACATTACGAAGGACAGACGGGTTTTGCGTTATTCCTGAATTATTTTTCCGAGCGCTTGAAGTGCCTACAGCAAAAGCAATTACCCATTGTCGTGGAGTTGATGCTTTACAGACAATAGTTCACACAAAGATTGTGGAAACGAGACCGGTTCTAACCGGTTCGTACTGGACATGACTTTACGGGAAAGCTCTTCCAGACTAGGAACTAACTTTTGCGTCATAACAAAATCATTGGCCATAGGGCACCTCTATTTTCGTGATAGCTGTTTGTCGATCACGATCACACAAATTATTGCAACTCATGGAGATTGAATCCATGTTCAAAACCCTAACTTTCTTATTCTACAATATCAACCATTTCAATCAAAATTAACAATCAAATACAAAAAACAACTCATAAGGCGTCTATCAACAGAACTTATTAATTAGAGGTTATTTGAAACATCGTTTTTTGAATTTCAAACTTATGTTAGTATGATTAATTAGTTTGGAGAAAGGCCACTATTTTTTTTGTTTCGCGGTGCTTCTAATAAATATCACACATTTAAATGCGCTTGCAATCATGGGCTTTATGACATTTTACAAAAAAAAAACCTTATTCTTTTGGCTTTATCCATATCCAGATAAATCTAACGACAGAAAAGCGAACGGGTGCATAATAGGAAATATAGCTAATGTGTGCTCAATCTGACAAGGCATTGAACAAAGCAATGGTATTATTAAACGACCGACTGGAGGAGAGTACAAAAGATCAGATTAAAAAATCCGCTCAAAAACGAAACACGCGAATCTGGCCTATCGTGAAAGACTCACCGCATCTCTTCAGAGAAATCGATTTTGCGCTGCACACGACCCTTTATACATGGCAGTATTGAAAATGAAGTGTACGTCGGTGACCAAAGCGTTTCGTCGAATGGATAACTCAGTCGATGCGAGTCGTTCGTTTGCAATATGACCACACGAAAACAATAGGGAAGCAACCGCCGCCTGCAACCGTTCTGGCTTTATTAGATTTTTACGTGCATGTATATGCATACGCAGGGATGCTAGTTCTGTTTGCCTTTTTATGATACGTTAGTTTGAGCAAGAGGTTTGCCTGATGATATGATATCGTCACCCTACACAAACATTCACAGCGCATATAGCCTCATGCGGGATAATGCTCGTGCTCAAATTTCTCGCTCAGTCCAAGCATTTACGTATTACATTGATGCAGTGGCCAGCAAGATCCCTGGATATGAACCCTTTTATGTGAGAAGATGGCAAACGAGCTCACGGTTTATCTGATGTTAACTTATTATTTTAGTTTTATTTTTATTTTATTGAGAATAACCGCCGCCCATGGATATTTGCAACACCCGTAAGGTTGCAGATGCTATGTCACCTTTTAATAAAGTGGGCCCCACTTACCTCATTAACCAGACGAAACGCAGAAGTATAACACGTCTACTTCACGCCAGTCTTTTATGAGGTCATGGTACTTATCTGGGCGGACCTGCTCATTTATGCAAAAGCGTAGACTGTTGCAATGTCCTACCATGTTTGGAACTTCTACCTATAGAGCATATTGTTTGGACTTGTTAAAGAAAAAGTGTTAAATCCAGAACACCATCCCCCAACAACCTGAAAGAACTGCAAAACTCGAAGTGGCACAGCTTGTCCCAAGATACAATAGATAACGTTATTCGCAGCATGCCCAGAAGGATGGAAACAATAGAGCATAAGGGGGAAACACGTTACTACTCTTTAATTTAAGTAATGTATAAAATCTAATTTACAACATTTTTTGTGTTTCCACAAAAAAGAGAAAAAAGTATTTCATTATTTTTTTACTTTGTTTATTTTTAATAATATTGTATTATTAAATAAGTCGACGTGAAAATATGTTCATCACCTTGTTACTTTATACTTGATTATTACTTGTTGAAACATACACATTATTTCTATACTCTGCCTTTTTTGAACGTTCCACTAAATGTGCGTAATTGTGTGTATATATATTCTTAAAATTGAAAGTGTTAAAAGGTTTTATCCTGATTTGTTGTTTATATAGTTACAAATATTTAAAGCTAACTTTGCTAGAAAGCTCGTAGCGATTAGCGTAAATAAATACAGAATAACAACCCGTGAATCAAACCAACTTTAGCAAATTGCTAACACAAGCCTGAACTTTACATCTATTTACGCAACCTAAACAAGCCACCAAATAGAAATGAAAGCACTAAATCCGGCACGCGCTACGCAAATCCCATTTCATCGCAATTTCGTTCGTGATTAGTGGCGTTTGCAAATAGCGTTGACATCGATATCAAAGCGGTTGACATCTGGGAAGGAAGCGTTGGGATACAATGTTGTTACAGCGGTGTAATAAAGTCCTTCAACGGCCATCGGACTGACCCAATCGCTCTACGGCGTTCAATATGACGCCGCCAATAATGCGCTCCGTGCCTACTCCGTACACGATTAAATTTTTAACATTTTCTCACGCGCTGCACCACAAAACTGGTTCAAACTCCAATAGGAATTTTCACTTCAGTTTACTTTTGTTACGTAAAAAGTGGTAATATTAATAGAACAATTTAATGCAAACCCAATTTAGACGATGACCTCCCGCCCCTCTTCTAATAATATTCTCTTAACTTTGCTACCTCACGCTATATTTAACAAAGTTATGTCAAAAAAATTGTTATGTCGAAAAACAGGCTAAGTACGAGTTGGACTCGCGCACAAAAGGTTCCGTACCATCACTACATAGTATAAAACAAAGTAGTCCCGCTGTCTGTCTGTCCCGATATACGCTTAGATCTTTAAAATTACGCTACGGATTTTGATTCGGTTTTCTATAGTAAATAGAGTGATTCAAGAGGTAGGTTACTAGGTATAATACATACATAATATATTAGAGAAACACTGAAAATCTAACGGTGGCAGGGCCATGCAGCAGCTTCGGCTGTTGCACGAATGGGCAGGCTCGTCTGGGTAAGTACCACGACCTCACAGAAGACCGGCGTAAAGTGGAAGTATAATATTTTCACATTTCATCTGGTGAGTGAGGTGGCCGGTGCCCAGTTTTAAAAAGGTTGTCAACACACATCTGGAACCCTATAGTGTAACAGGTGTCCATGTGCTGCGGAATTCACTTAACATCAGGTGAACCGTCTGCTCGTTTCTCAACTTCTCACATAAAAAAAAAAATTTTGAGGTTTCTAATGCGATGTTGAAAACAAACATTCACCCTTGCACCCGAGTGAAGCCGAGGCGGGTCGGTGGTATTCCTATAAAATAACTTTAAGCCCGTAGGAATATTTTATTATGTTTTGAATTTCGGTAGTTGTATCGCCTACATTACATTCTTATCTTCGTTTCCGTTTATTAATATTGTCGGAATCTTTTTCCGAGACTAAGTTAATGCCAGCTTGTCCGCCATTGACCATGAAGTATTTAATTATTAATAGATGGTCATGGATAATATAAAAGGTCGTTTAAATTCGGTATCAGTTCGTATCTTCTCTTTTATTAATTCGTACAAATATTTCTCTACCAAATACTTCTCATGTAAAAGTACATTTAAATTTATACTTTAATATTTTGTGAAGTCTTATAAGTAGATGGAATTTCTTCTTCGATGAAAATAATTCGTTTACTTTTGTTCGAAAAGTGAAAAACTTTTACCAATCACTTAAGATAAATAGTTTACAGACGCTATCGCAATTAACTTTAAACTTTATTCACGAAGTCACTAAGTACGATCCTTAGCCCGGTGCATCTATTGACCTCCCGTACATTTGCTTAGGTCGTCATCCTAGAACTCGAGAACCTTACTTACCCATTACTTAACGGAGCTTCGAACAATTTGGCCAGCCTGTTGCTACTTCAAGTTACTAATTCTAATAATAAATTAGTAATCATACGGCCAGCAATGAAGAACCACGCCTTGGTTCTGTAAAACATCTCTAGCAACCAGATGATAGCGGGAGAGGTATATGGGGGTCCCATCATAAAAACCCATGATGCACCTGTACTATCACATTGGCCAGTCACGGGATCACGAAAACGTAATCTTCCGCGGCCCGGCGCCTCCAAAGCATTCTCAGGCCTCCTCTCAACTCCCTCCGACCGTGTTCCTGCCTTATCGCGCAGGAGACACTGAGTAGCCGTGGCTTGGTACCTCACGGCGAAGCTAAGAGGAACCTACACTGAGAAGCCCTTTTATACAAGAGTAGTCCGAGAGAAACGCTCCTCAGATCCAAAGTGGACTCATTGAGCCCACTTTGTAGAAACTGTCCAACGTGGGAGTTGCGTAATGTTACACGTTGATAATTCCGTCCTATCCCGGTACTTCGGCATTCCTAAGTTGGCCAAGAGTCATTCTAATCTCTGACTGACGTTCGAGATGTTTTCTAGTGTTGACAAGCTTCAAGTCTTGAAGACAAAAACCCAATAACAGGCCTTTACGTGTTGTGGCGAACTCCAACGACAATGTGTACAGCTGTCTATAGAACCTCTCAATCTCAATTAAAATATCTAGTTTAGTGGAGATAATAGCGTTTAGTGGAGATAATAGCTCCGCTGTCAGGTCGCGACTCCGTTTATTCCTTTTGCTTTATCTGATAGACACTTCTCTGGCGAAGACTATTGAGCCTATGTTTTGCTGTATAGACCCCTCGACACGAACCATATTGGAGCTGAGTAAATCGCGCTTCATATTTGGTGACGCCTGTAGTCTGACTTGTCAAGTAAAGCCTGTAGCCACAACTCACGGCTTGTTTGCAAGTTGAGATTATGATCGGAGAGTATTTAGGTTCTATTTTTTGCGACGGTTTTTATAAAACTTATAACTCGCGCAATAAACAGTTTCCATGATCTTAGAGTTAAAACCGTTTAGGTGTTGCCATTTTCCAAGTATTGGAAGCGATTATGTAGTTCAGCCTGAAAGCTTCGATATTTTTCGGCTCTCGGATATAGGCATTAAGTGTCTGGAATGTGGACTTCCATCAGTCGACAATTTTTTAGTTTAATGCTAAAATGAAATATGCCTTTCACCAATCGGTGATCACCCTTGTAATCACAGAGACATCATTGAATTTTTGCCATATGTAGTCATTATGACATACGGCACAAATTTGTTTTTAATAGAACGTCCGGATCAATCCATGTGGGGCTTTCTGTGGAGGTGTTTACAAGAACAAGTTCATGTGTTTTGAACATCAGGGTTGGTATTCGTTGATTTGTAAATCATTTCAGTACCTCAAATTTGCACTAATGAGAGTGATGGTACTACTCTTATCCTTGAAATTCTTAGAAAAACCCTTAAACGGCCAATAACTAAAAAGATTAAGACGTGAGCCCCATGATAAAGGAAAATTAAAACACCGTTGAATTATAGTAGCGTCCCTTTGCGCTGGAACAATTATTACCCTAAGAGCTCAGTTTTCCACTCGGCTTTACATTTTCACGTTATACTTTAGAACAGACAATTTAAAAGCTCCGTCAAAGGTAAAAATGAAGCTGCTTTTTGCCTTAAATAAAGATTTACCAGGTGATAAAGAACAGAAAGTACTAAAAATCACACAGAACCACGTCTAGAATCGGCTATCAAATTCGATCCTCTGCGATGAATAAAGCGAAATTGCGCCTTTTTGAATAATGACACAACAAACCGTTTGATAAGTTCGCTGTGTTGAGATTTCCATATGATGAATGACTATAGATGATGATGAGTACAAATTTATATTTAATAACATGACAGGTGTATACGCCTAATTTGAAGGTACATCTTTGGAAGCACCATCGACGGTACATTAGCATAACGAGCGGC